TGCATGCTGTAGTTTCACAGGGTTAATTTAGCAAAACCTAAACATGTAAATGAAAAAAATTTATTTTGATTGCGATCAGGCCTGCTCATGATGACCACCTCATCATATAAAAACAGCTATTATTTCCTCACTGTACATCACTAACATCACTGTTTCACAACACCTCATGCACTGCTACAGAGAGAGATCTAACACAGGAAGTCAAGGATCAAGAGCTCAACTAAAGCAAACACTGATCTCCATGATGGTGGCATCATTTTAACCAATAAAACATCAACATCTGATCCTCTGTAATTCTCAATAACAGCAGGTGCTCATCACTAATGCACAATCATCATTTAATTAGTCACGTAATTATCTCATTAACTTTAACTCTTTGAGGACTTGGGATTTGACTTGAGACTTGCGTGTGATTTGAAAGGAATGACTTGGTTCCTCCTCTGGTGAAATCAGATGAATTCATGGGTGGAATAAACATGGCAGGACTTTTACTTTCTGACCCCTGGATTTTACACCTCTGATTATTAGTTACTAATAAATCAACATTTAACCTGGTAAAAAATATTTATTTATTGTTATCCATGTTATATTTCATCTGCAACAGCAATGTGAACTTTTATAAACAACTATTTGGTCGTTAATTTTTAAATGCATCATTATGTATAAAATATGAGCAGAGTTCTCCACATGAAGGTCGCTGTGATTTTGCCAAGTAAGACATGTTCCTGGATCAACATCTTTTGTTGATGCTGGATCAACATTACTGTCCAAAAATATAGCCTTAACCCAATCCCTAACCCTAAACCTAACCCTACCCATAATTTATTCCTAAAATCAGTGTGAAATGATAGCTGATTAACAAGGGTGTAGAAGCACCTAACCCTGATCATAAGCCTAAAACAGACATTTCCTGAAAAGTTATCCCTCAATTCTGATTGGTTGATTGGAATGTTGTTCCAGGAACATGTTGTACTTGGTGAAATCACGGTCACCCCGCATGAAAGACCCGCGACTGGCAGATCAATGTGCTACTTCTTTTCTCTCCAATACGGTAGGAAGTTAAATGAAATGCAATGTAGAGAACGTTAACTGTGACAAGATGATTGACAGGCCAGTTTACAGTGCATGTAACAGGTGCGACAGACAAGGGCGTGTCTACGTGGTGGCCAGGAGTGGCACCGGCCCCCCCTGAAATTTGGCTGGCCACCCCAGGTGCCCCCCCTACCAGATGTCTTGCAATAGGTTTGTTTTTAGTAAATTTCTAACTGCATCTGGCAGTGGCGGATCCTGGCATGTGTAGGCAGCTGCCTAGGGCCGCTTTCTTCTCTTCTTTATACTTAATTTTAGGCGGTTTCTATAGTGTGATCTTAATGACAATGTCGAGAGCGCATAATGTTATGCGATCCATGTGCGCGAGGACGAATCTCTCCACTCCTAAGCGGATTTCCTTCACTCACACAAAACTGGACGTGTGCTTTTAAATATTGTTCTTTTATGAATTGGCTCTGCTCTGTCAGTGTCTCTGTCTCTCTTTGTTTAGTGAGTGTACACGATGTATTATAACATACATCGTTCCGCAAACACAACCCCCTCCACCCCCTTTTGAGCCAGTGCGGTCCTTTAAAGATGCAATTTCGTGATAGTATGTCCCAAAGCTTGCCTACTCTTCTACTACACACTCAAAAGTGTGTACTTTTTCTTCACCAAAAGAGTACATATTTTAAGGGCGTAGAATAAGTAGGCACATTGAGACGCAGCATTTGTCTTTTCCTTGCTCAGAGTTGATCTCAGATTGGTCCTGAATCACTCTTAAGCTAAGACTCCTTCATAGAATTTTTAAAGCTAAATTAGGAGCTTTCTGAGAGAATTCTTAGAAGCTTTAAGAATACGGGCCCAGGTGTCCCTAGAAAGTTTCAGTAACGTTTCAGCTCAAAATACCCCTCAGATCATTTATGATACCATCTCCATGTCCTAAGTGTTTTCAGGTTTGAAATCCTCATTCCAGTGTTTTTGTTGTTAGGGTTAAAATCCGATGGCACTGTTCTGGCCAGGGGTTCGCTCTTCGTACTTCGCTTAATACATCTGAGATGATTTGAAAGATGCCAGATCTTCTAATCATGATAACTGTTCTCTGGCTAATTTGGTTCTTCAAACAAATTTGCGGATTAGATTAAAATATCTGGATTAAGTTGTCTATTAGTGCGCGTTCTTGTGTTCCCCCGTAAAGGGCAGATGTATCGATACTCGAAACCACGATCAGCAATGCAGCGATTGGCTGGCGGCAAGACAGCAACGTAATGACATCATATAACTAAAAAAGATGCCTGACGAAAAGCTTGACAAATTTCTGGAAACAGCCAAGTGAACAAAACTACATAAATGTAATAATAGATAAATGAAATGTGCACAGTTTTTATTTTTTTTAAATGATTCCCAATTATTTATATTCATGATTTCTAGTATTTGTAAGACATTTTTATTTCAGTGTTGTAATTAGCATTTAATTTAATTTTATCTTTGAAACAGATTTGTTATGTGACAGCATTAATTAAAGTTTTTTAAGGGTCAAGATCATGTTATCTGCATCTCCTGCACTCCATCAAGCCACTCTCATAATATCTGTCATCACTCAAATTAATGCACGGCTCAGATGAACTGTATAGCATGTGTGTAAGATTCCAATGTAATTATAATGTAATTACTTAATCACAAATACATTTTTCAATGAGTAAACCTGGCTGTGTCTATAGTCTTATAGATGATGACTACACAAAATAGTAATATTTTTGTATTTGTATCAGAGCAGAGCATCCTGGCCACTCTTTGCTATTCAGTTATTTAGATCAGTCAAAATATACACAAAATCATAATGTTTCTAAGCATAAAAATTATGCCATATCTCTGGTCTCTGTGAATACAGAGACAATGGCAACTTCAGCCACATTAGCTGTGCAAAATGCTTACAAACACATTAAGAAAGGCAGCATTAGTGTGTTAGTGCTAGCTGTGCTAGTGAGGAGATGAATATTGACTGCATGCAGCTCACTCAGGGGAGAAGTTAATAGGGCAGAATACATCACCAATTGTGGGCGGGCCTTACCCTAATGTGACATCACATTGGGCTGCAAACAAATGAGTTTAATCATTTATTACTTGTTATAACGTTTAGCTTTATTGTGTTCATGTAAATTGATATGATCTGAATAACATACAGATAGATCCTTAAAATAATATGATTCTTTTCTCAGTTGAGATTAATGTATGATCTTACGTCAGTTTCTCCAGTTTACAGCGAGGATGCTTGAGTCCATTAGAGATCAGTTTCACTCCTGCAACTCCTAGATTATTCTTAGACAGATCCAGTTTTCTCAGCTGTGAGGAGTTTGATCTCAGAGCTGAACTCAGAGCAGCACAACCTTCAGCTGTGACGCCACAATAACTCAACCTGAATAAATGATGAACAATGTTTTTCTCAGAAGTGTTAATACTTAGGCGTTAATATTATTGAAAATTAATATTATTGATCAACAAAGAGAGAAATCAAGACAGAGCAACTGAATATGACATATGAATCAGAATCACTGCATCATCTGGAGAATCAGGATGTAGAAAAAAATTAAATCATTAATTCAACAATATTACTGAATTATGGTGTTTTAAATGTATTCAGCAGTGGTACAGAGCATCATGTCCTAAAAAACTTAAAATCCGTAATAGAAAAGCATTATTAATAATGGACAAAGAAAAATTAATGTTGCCCTATCTCACTTTTGTGTCACACAATGAGACAATCTCAACAGTAGTGAACACGAGGTCTACATTAGATTTGTTGTAAAGCACCAGACTAAATTTGCTGAGTTTGTTGAGTTGTAGGTAAAAATACATTGCTTGTATGTGATGCATTTATTCTTCTTCTCATTCAACCAAAACGTCACCATTATTAATATAAAAAAACATAAGTGAATGGAAGTGTTGCCTATGTTATGGTGTGGAGAAACAAGTTAATCTGCATATTCCACTGGTAAATGAGCAAAACAGACTTTGGAAAATTGTGTTTGCAGTTTATCCTCATAGTATTTCATTAAAAATATTCACAAAAATGTTATTTTAAATTAAAAATAGGTGATTGTTTTTCTTAAATGTGTGCCAAAATTATTGACACCTCTTCTCATTCTTATGATAATAATTGATATTTTTTTCTGTTGGATTGGCTTTGCATTTCATGATGATCAATGATCAGACAAACTCACTATGACAACTGTTGTAGATTTTTTTGGTGACTGTGGTGACAAAGGTGCCAAGATTTGTGAAGTACACTGCATTCAGAAATAATCTAATTTACATTTGCATTTTCATGTTAAGATTCACATATGATCTTACCACAGTGTCTCCAGTTTACAGTAAAGATCCTTCAGTCCATCAGAGAGCAGCTTCACTCCTGCAACTCCTAGTTTATTCCAAGACAGATCCAGTTCTCTCAGCTGTGAGGAGTTTGATCTCAGAGCTGAACTCAGAGCAGCACAACCTTCATCTGTAATGTCACAATCCTTCAGCCTGCAGAACAGCATCACACTCTTTACTCCCTCAGTTCAGCAGAAACAACAACAGAAATACAGAGAGACTATGATAAATCCTAATTCTGTGTGGGTGTTTCGTCCCAGGAAGTATTATTGCTATTATTATTATTATTATTATCATTTTGATTAATTATTATTATATTATTTTTATTTGTATTTAAGGCCTAAAAAAAGTGACATATGCGTTCATTTGCAGTGGTGTTTGGCTTCCGTGGCTGATGTCATCAGTTTTCTGAGCTTTTCTCAGTAGGCTCGTTTGAGATTAACAAAATCTGCGCAGAACCGATCACCGGTGATGCATGTCGGTTAGAAAAGTGTCCAAGTTACGTCCGCCTTGCTCTGATGTCATGCTGACGTGTGCCAAAAAAGTGTTTGTGCAGAAAAAAAACGGATTGTGCAGTTGAGCGCAGTTGCTCTCCACCGACTGTGCTTATCAAAAGCAAGTTTCCGATCGCAAAATCACTTTCGCTGGGGCCCCACAAACCTCTGGGCCCTCTGCACTCTGTCACCCTTTCCCCCTCACCAGCCGTCATGGTTTGCCTACAGTGTCGGAACAAAGGAATGTGGAGACGATGGGGGGTAACGAGGAACAATTTTTATTAATCCACATAAAGACATACATGGGCAGGAACACACACGTAGCGCAGGGCTTAGACGTATAAGACTGGACGCAGGACTTAGGAAAACACAGGGCTTAAATTCAGGAACTAAATGGGGAACACCTGGAAACAACGAACATAATCAAACATGGGAGAAACTGGGTCATGGGGAGCAAAACACAAGACACGGAACACCGGGGCAGTCCAAGAGCGTGACATTACCTCCCCCTCCCGGAAGGCACGTCCATGTGCCTCATAACTTCTAATGGGGAAGGGGGGTGGGTGCTCTGGAGACCTCTAGGGACAGGCTTACACAGGACGGAAGGCCTCCAGAGCGGTGCAAATGAGGTCAACTTTTTCACAAATTCACGTTTTTGTTGATTAAATGGAGATGATACAGGCATTGTGTTCAAAAGCTTGTGCTTTCATTGAGGACAGCTGATGTTAACAAACAGAATCACTGAAAGAGAAAATCAAATATTGTGGTTACCATTATTGTGGTCAGTGTTTGCTTTAGTTGGGCTCTTGACCCTTGAATTTTTAAACAGTTTTCTTTGGGCTGCTGTAGCGGAGTTATAGCAGCTAGACAAGCCAAGAGAAAAGGTGACCAGGTGGTGTTGGTTATGTTTTGACATCATTATCACTTGACCTGGATCTCTGAGTTGGGTGTATCTTATCCATTACAGCCATCCTGTGATTGTACAGTATAAGGTCTGGAATTTTCAGCATAATCTGAGAGATTTTTAAAAGCGCTTCTGATATCAAAACATTAAAAAAAATTTTTTTTTTTTTTAAATTCATTTAGGCACACAGACATCAAGAATCAGCGTGAGAACCTCAACAATGGTGACCATCAAAAGCATGTTGCAGTGCATTCTGGGTGCCACCAATCAAAACTCATCCAGTAAGTTCAGTAAAAATTCAGTGATTCAGGTCAAATGATGATTATGTAAAACCATAACCAACACCACCTGATCATCTTTTCTCTTGGCTTGTCTAGCTGCTATAACTCAGTTACAACAGCCATGCAAAATGTATTGTTAAAAAGTCAAGGGTCAAGAGCCCAACTAAAGCAAACACTGACCACTGTAATGGTAACCTAATAATTTAGATTTTCTCTTTCAGTGATTATGTTTGTTAACATCAGGTGTCTTCAATAACACTGTTTTGTGGGCCTGAAAACACAAGCTTTTGAACACAATGCCTGTATCATCTCCATGTAAACAACAAAAATGTGTATTTGTGAAAACGTTGACGTCATGTGCATGCATATTGCATTTTTGCGGGTTGTTTCTTGATCGCCAACTACTGGCCTGGCATGCATAACATAGAATTCTTTAGAATAGTTTTTTTTTGTCCAATGAAACCAATATTTGTTTAAATTGTACTTATTTTTTTCATGCTATTTTACTAATTTTGAATGGTTGATTGTAAACATCTCATTTGATTAATTCTAATGTGTTAAATTTAATTAATAATATTGCTTGTAATATTTAGAAAATTTTATTGAGTAAATATAGTGAATAATTCTTTACAGTGTACACACCTCGGTTGGATTGTTTAAAGGCACGGTGAGTCTCTGGCTGTTCTTCTTTCAGACAAATACATTCAGAGTTATATAAAAAAATAAAATATATTAAATAAATATATTAATGGCAGTGAATGGTTGTTGAAATTTTGAAACAAAAAGTGCATCCATCCATCATAAAAAGTGCTCCACACAGCTCCGGGGGGTTAATAAAGGCCTTCTGAGGTGAATTGTAGTGCGTGTAAGAAAATATCCATATTTACGATTTTATAAGCCGTAATCTCTAGCTTCGGCTAACTGTCGTACACACATTCACGAGACTGTGGCGTTCAAGCAGATAATGTAGGACGTAGGCATAGCATAAGCTCTGGTGAGAATATATAATATTTACTTGTTCTTCTAATTCGTGACCTGTGTTTTGTTTTGCTCTCTCCACTGCGCTTGGAAGAGCCAGGACATTTTAGACTCAGATTGTATTAGTCTGAAAGAAAAAAGTCATACACAACTAAGATGGCTTGAGAGTGGGTAAATCATGTGGTAATATTCATTTTTGGGTGAACTATCCCTTTAAACCTAAACTCCACTCAAAAATGAAAAATGTCTCATTATTTACTCTCATGCTGTCCTCGATCTATATAACTTTTCTCTTCAGATAAACACAAATGAAGATTGTTAGAAAAATATTGCATCTCTCGGAGCCCATATAATGAAATATAAGTGCATAGCATCCTTAAAGTTGTTAAGCTAGTTTTGAAGCTGATGTGAAGTTAAGCAGAAGCACAGAGTCACTTTTGTCGTGAGCTTCATTATGTAGTTACATGTTCACATGAACACATATATGACAGCTGGCCCGAAGCACTTAAAAATTCTTACGCACACCTATGGTTTTGCTTTAGAAGACAGTACTGATTAATCAACTGGGGTCTTTTTGGTTTATAGCTGTTTGTTTTGCATGGTTTTTGAAGCATAAACCTTCAGGTTACTATCATTTTACTATATAATTTGCATTATATGGACTGACAAAGGTTTTTTTTTTTTCCCGAAACTTAAATTTGTGTTCATTTGAAGGAAAATAATTCATACAGATCTGTTATGTCATAACAGTGAGTAAACATTACATATTAAAAATTACATATAATTGTTTCATTGGAGCTTAATGTATGATCTTACGTCAGTTTCTCCAGTTCACAGAGAGGATCCTTCAGTCCATCAGAGAGCAACGTCAGACCTGCATCTCCTACTTTATTCCATGACAGATCCAGTTCTCTCAGCTGTGAGGAGTTTGATCTCAGAGCTGAACTCAGAGCAGTACAACCTTCAGCTGTGATGCCACAATTACTCAACCTGCAAAACAACAACACACTCTTCACTCTCAGTTCAGGATATAAAATTTAACAGTGGGTTTCATCAACATTCATAGCAATTACAGTAGTTTCAACAACCATAAAATTCACAAACACATAAGTTTACAGACATGCAAACTTCATTGTATATTGAAGATTAGAGATAGTCTCACTAGAGGAGCAATAAATGAGGTTGCAGACATTCAAAACCCAATCCTTTAAATTAGCCTCTTAATCTCAGGTTTACTGTTAATGTGAAAGGGAAGAGACACTCAAATGTGTTTGTCTAAATTAATATTACAATTGTCAATAAAAATAGAGAAGCTCTGCACTAAAACACACACATCTGATGACTGCAGTCAGTGCTACTTACTCTGCTGATCTGGAGGCTTCAACGACAGGCAAGAGCTTCAGAAGAACTTCATCAGGTGTCATGTGTTTTTGGCCACTACTAATGTATTTACTGAAATGAAATTGATCCAACTGCTCTGAGGTCAACAAAACAAAGACAACAGCTGACCACTGTGATGAGGACAGTTTAGCGCCTGACAGACCTCCAGATCTGAGATACTCCTGGACTTCACTGACGAGAGACTGATCGCCCAGTTCATTTAAACAGTGAAACAGATTGATGGATTTCTCTGGTGAGGGATTCATTCTTATTCTTGTTTTAATGTACTCAATCGTTTTCTCTTCACTGTATGAGATGTTCCCAATGTGTGTCAGAAGACCTTTCATGAGCGTCTGATTGGACTCCAGTGAGAGACCCAGAAGAAATCGGAGGAAAAGGTCCAGATGTCCATTCTTACTCTGTAAAGCCTTGTCCACGGCTCTCTGATGCAGGTCAGATATTGTGTGACATGTGAACTCGTGTGCATGTTTTGAGCTGAGGTTTACATTGAGCACATCTCTCTTGTCCAGCAGGAATGAAAGCAGCACATATAGAGCTGCGAGATGCTCCTGAATGCTCAGATGAACAAAGCAGAAGACTTTCCCCTGATACAAGCCCAACTCCTCTCTGAAGATCTGAGTGCACAATCCTGAGTAAACTGATGCTTCAGTCTCATCAATGCCACACTCTCTCAGGTCTTCCTCATAGAAGATGAGGTTGCCTTTCACAAGCTGCTGGAAAGACAGTTTCCCCAGTTTCAGGATCATGTCTTCATCCTTCACTTTCTTCTCATAGTCCTTCTCATGTTTGATGCTGGTCTGAATGATCAGGAAGTGCGTGTACATTTCAGTGAGAGTCTTGGGAATCTCTCCTTTCCATGATTTCCTCATCATCTTCTCCAGAACAGTGGCTGAGATCCAGCAGAAGACTGGGATGTGGCACATGATGAAGAGGCTCCTTGATGACTTCAGGTGTGAGATGATCCTGTTGGCCAGACTCTGATCACTGATTCTCTTCCAGAAGTATTCCTCCTTCTGTGGATCATTGAAGCCTCGTACCTCTGTCACTCGATGGACACACTCAGAGGGGACGAGATCAGCTGCTGCTGGTCTGGAGGTGATCCAGATGAGAGCAGAGGGAAGCAGATTCCCCATAATGATGTTCGTCAGCAGCACGTCCACTGAGACCGATTCACTCACATTACACAACCCCACATTGCTCTGAAAATCCAGAGACAGACGACACTCATCCAGACCATCAAAAACAAAGACAACTTTATTTTCACCACTGAATGGTTTCATTTCTTTGGTTTCAGGAAAGAAAATATGCATTAGATCCAAAAGACTGAGTGTTTTGTCCTTCATCAGATTGAGCTCTCTGAAAGGAAGTGGAAATATGAGCTGGACGTCCTGATTCACAGTTTTTATTTTTTTTAAATGATTCCCAATTATTTATATTCATGATTTCTAGTATTTGTAAGACATTTTTATTTCAGTGTTGTAATTAGCATTTAATTTAATTTTATCTTTGAAACAGATTTGTTATGTGACAGCATTAATTAAAGTTTTTTAAGGGTCAAGATCATGTTATCTGCATCTCCTGCACTCCATCAAGCCACTCTCATAATATCTGTCATCACTCAAATTAATGCACGGCTCAGATGAACTGTATAGCATGTGTGTAAGATTCCAATGTAATTATAATGTAATTACTTAATCACAAATACATTTTTCAATGAGTAAACCTGGCTGTGTCTATAGTCTTATAGATGATGACTACACAAAATAGTAATATTTTTGTATTTGTATCAGAGCAGAGCATCCTGGCCACTCTTTGCTATTCAGTTATTTAGATCAGTCAAAATATACACAAAATCATAATGTTTCTAAGCATAAAAATTATGCCATATCTCTGGTCTCTGTGAATACAGAGACAATGGCAACTTCAGCCACATTAGCTGTGCAAAATGCTTACAAACACATTAAGAAAGGCAGCATTAGTGTGTTAGTGCTAGCTGTGCTAGTGAGGAGATGAATATTGACTGCATGCAGCTCACTCAGGGGAGAAGTTAATAGGGCAGAATACATCACCAATTGTGGGCGGGCCTTACCCTAATGTGACATCACATTGGGCTGCAAACAAATGAGTTTAATCATTTATTACTTGTTATAACGTTTAGCTTTATTGTGTTCATGTAAATTGATATGATCTGAATAACATACAGATAGATCCTTAAAATAATATGATTCTTTTCTCAGTTGAGATTAATGTATGATCTTACGTCAGTTTCTCCAGTTTACAGCGAGGATGCTTGAGTCCATTAGAGATCAGTTTCACTCCTGCAACTCCTAGATTATTCTTAGACAGATCCAGTTTTCTCAGCTGTGAGGAGTTTGATCTCAGAGCTGAACTCAGAGCAGCACAACCTTCATCTGTGACGCCACAATCTCTCAACCTGCAGAACAACAACACACTCTTCACTCACTTTATATAAAGTTTTACAGCACAAAACAACAACCATAAAATTCACAAATACATAATTTTACAGACTTACACACAGGCAAAGTTCACTATATCAGAAGATTAGAGATATTCTCACTAGAAGAGCAATAGATGAGGTTTCACAGACATTCACAGAAAACAAAAGTGTCTTAATCTCAAGTTCACTGTTAATGTGAGAAGGAAGAGACACCCAAAACAGTGTCTAAACTGTTAAAATACTACCATTGACAACAAAGAAAAGAAGCACTGCGCTACAACACACACATCTGAAGATTACACTCAGTGCTACTTACTCTGCTGATCTGGAGGCTTCAACAACAGGCAAGAGCTTCAGAAGAAGTTCATCAGGTGTCATGTGGTTTTGGTTTTGCTCTCTGCTTATGTATTTGCTCAAATTAAATTGATCCAACTGCTCTGAGGTCAACAAAACAAAGACAACAGCTGACCACTGTGATGAGGACAGTCTAGCGCTTGACAGACCTCCAGATCTGAGATACTCCTGGACTTCACTGACGAGAGACTGATCGCCCAGTTCATTTAAACAGTGAAACAGATTGATGGATTTCTCTGGTGAGGGATTCATTCTTATTCTTGTTTTAATGTACTCAATCGTTTTCTCTTCACTGTATGAGATGTTCCCAATGTGTGTCAGAAGACCTTTCATGAGCGTCTGATTGGACTCCAGTGAGAGACCCAGAAGAAATCGGAGGAAAAGGTCCAGATGTCCATTCTTACTCTGTAAAGCCTTGTCCACGGCTCTCTGATGCAGGTCAGATATTGTGTAACATGTGAACTCGTGTGCATGTTTTGAGCTGAGGTTTACATTGAGCACATCCCTCTTGTCCAGCAGGAATGAAAGCAGCACATATAGAGCTGCGAGATGCTCCTGAATGCTCAGATGAACAAAGCAGAAGACTTTCCCCTGATACAAGCCCAACTCCTCTCTGAAGATGGAAATATGAGCTGGACGTCCTGATTGTCTTTCCCTTCAGCCCAGTCCAGGATGAACTTCTGCACAGAGACTCAGACACTCAAACTTCTTCCTCAGATTTGATCTGAATAACTTGACGGGTTCATGTTGAGGGTCATGGCTGTAAGATAAACAAATTACAAGTAACAAATTATTAGAATTTGCAGAATTAGAATTATTTTATATAAAATCCCTGTAGCTTAAACAGAAAAGCATGGTGCTGGCAATACCAAAGTCATGACTGTCAAGAGTGAAAAATAAACCAGTACAAGATAAATCACACAAGGGCAATTTAAAGTGCAATAAACTGTGATCCAAGGATGAATGAAAATCTTAGGGGATTGGAACAACTTGAGGATAAGTAATTAATAACAGAATTTTTGTTTTTAGAAGAACTATTCATTTAATTTTATCACAGGCTTTATGAAGAATCAATAAATGTATATTACAGTGTTTACCTAAACCTAGGACCAGTGTGTCCTCTAAAGTTATGTGGATGATCCATTGACCAGTCGCTCTTCATGGACACACAGCTGGGTTCAGATGACTCTGGTCTGTGCTTCTGGACTGAACTGAAACAAAACATGAAGGAAAATTAAAATCAGACACTCTGATAATGACTGACTGTTAATTAACTTAATATTTATGCTAATTGAAGGACATTTTTTGGCCCCAAGTTCGCCCCTAAATATAGTCATTATTATTATTTATTTTTTTTGTGTGTGAACATTCTCGTTGCTTCAGAAAATTACAGTTGAATCACTGTTGAATCAAATTCTGTCATTAATTACTCATCCTCAAGTTGTTCGAACTTTTGTTCATCCTTCGAACACAGTTGAAGGTATTTTGAATGAAATCCGAGAGCTTTCTGTCCCTCTGACAGCCTAAGCAACTTTCACTTCAACGGCCCAGAAAGGTACTGAAAACATAATGGAAATAGTCCATTGTTACTCCAGTGATTCAACTGTAATTTTCTGAAGCAACGTGAATGATTTTTGTGCACCAAAAAAACAAAAATAATGACTACATTTAACATTTTTTTCACTTCTGCTTCAATTCCCAACGCACATTCATGAGACCTGCTTTTTTCTTCTGTCCACGAGGAAGACATGATATGAGAGAACGACTCTCACAATACAGCCTGTACCGGAAGCACTGTACTGTTTGCAAGCAGAAGAACAATACTGTAATAATACTGTAATAAAGCGTTCCTCTGCTTGAAATCAGTACAGCGCTTTTGGTACGGGCTGTATTGTGATAGTCGCGCTCTCACGTCAACACACATGCGTCGTGGTGCTCTCGTGGATTGAAGACAAAGAAGAAGAAGCTCTCGTAAAACGGGCATTGGGGATTAAAGCAGAAGTGAAGAAAATTTTGAATATAGCACTCTGATAATGACTGACTGTTAATTAACTTAATATTTATGCTAATTGAAGGACATTTTTTGGCCCCAAGTTCGCCCCTAAATATAGTCATTATTATTATTTATTTTTTTTGTGTGTGAACATTCTCGTTGCTTCAGAAAATTACAGTTGAATCACTGTTGAATCAAATTCTGTCATTAATTACTCATCCTCAAGTTGTTCGAACTTTTGTTCATCCTTCGAACACAGTTGAAGGTATTTTGAATGAAATCCGAGAGCTTTCTGTCCCTCTGACAGCCTAAGCAACTTTCACTTCAACGGCCCAGAAAGGTACTGAAAACATAATGGAAATAGTCCATTGTTACTCCAGTGATTCAACTGTAATTTTCTGAAGCAACGTGAATGATTTTTGTGCACCAAAAAAACAAAAATAATGACTACATTTAACATTTTTTTCACTTCTGCTTCAATTCCCAACGCACATTCATGAGACCTGCTTTTTTCTTCTGTCCACGAGGAAGACATGATATGAGAGAACGACTCTCACAATACAGCCTGTACCGGAAGCACTGTACTGTTTGCAAGCAGAAGAACAATACCGTAATAATACTGTAATAAAGCGTTCCTCTGCTTGAAATCAGTACAGCGCTTTTGGTACGGGCTGTATTGTGATAGTCGCGCTCTCACGTCAACACACATGCGTCGTGGTGCTCTCGTGGATTGAAGACAAAGAAGAAGAAGCTCTCGTAAAACGGGCATTGGGGATTAAAGCAGAAGTGAAGAAAATTTTGAATATAGTTGATATATATATATTTTTTTGGTGCACAAAAAGCATTCTCGTTGCTTCAGAAAATTACAGTTGAACACTCTGATAATGACTGACTGTTAATTAACTTAATATTTATGCTAATTGAAGGACATTTTTTGGCCCCAAGTTCGCCCCTAAATATAGTCATTATTATTATTTATTTTTTTTGTGTGTGAACATTCTCGTTGCTTCAGAAAATTACAGTTGAATCACTGTTGAATCAAATTCTGTCATTAATTACTCATCCTCAAGTTGTTCGAACTTTTGTTCATCCTTCGAACACAGTTGAAGGTATTTTGAATGAAATCCGAGAGCTTTCTGTCCCTCTGACAGCCTAAGCAACTTTCACTTCAACGGCCCAGAAAGGTACTGAAAACATAATGGAAATAGTCCATTGTTACTCCAGTGATTCAACTGTAATTTTCTGAAGCAACGTGAATGTTCACACACAAAAAAAATAAATAATAATAATGACTATATTTAGGGGCGAACTTGGGGCCAAAAAATGTCCTTCAATTAGCATAAATATTAAGTTAATTAACAGTCAGTTCCACGAGGAAGACATGATATGAGAGAACGACTCTCACAATACAGCCTGTACCGGAAGCACTGTACTGTTTGCAAGCAGAAGAACAATACTGTAATACTACTGTAATAAAGCGTTCCTCTGCTTGAAATCAGTACAGCGCTTCTGGTACGGGCTGTATTGTGATAGTCGTGCTCTCACGGCAACACACATGCGTCGTGGTGCTCTCGTGGATTGAAGACAAAGAAGAAGAAGCTCTCGTTGCTGTAATCAGGGTGGACTTAACCAATAAGTAGGAAAGCTGTCGCTTAGGCCCCCACATTTAGCCACAACTGCCCCCACATGGTAATACAGCTTTAGAACAACATCAGGTTGACTAACTAATTACTGAATCCTGTAGATACTGTAATGTGAAGGGGTAAATAAACTTTAAGCAAACAAGGGTTACAAAAGTAAAAGAACACATAGGCTACTGTAGCTGGAATTTGCTAAGGGCCCCCAATGAAATCCCTAAGTCTGCCCCTGACTGTGATAATGATTGATTGCTCATTCACTGAATATTTATGCTAAATTAGCTAAAATGATTCTACCATAATTCATTCCGAGGAAATCACAGAATGGTGTAATTTGTGCATGAAAATCTTTACCAACTTAATTCTTCACCCAAAAGACCAAATATTAGAAATGAGGATACATAAGTTTGTGGTAGGTTCAAACACCCTCGGTAAAATCAATATCAATAACCCAAGACTAAAAATAAAAAAGAGTAGCCTAAACTAGCAAATATCATCACACCACACCACATTATTTACAGTCAGTATTCCTTCCTGTCAAGGCAGTTTATATTGCGCTGATAAATCTAGAAATGTCAATCATGTTGTAAAATCCTGTAAATGTCTGAATACTCGAACTACTGTTTTTAAAAAGATTGTCAGCACAACACCGTCTGTCTTTCTTTCTAAGGCGGAAGTGGCCTTCTGAACGCAAATTCATGTCTACTTTAACCATTAAAAGTGTGTATAAATAACTATTATACTATATTAATTATAATTTGCAAAACACGACGGGATGGGATACAGCACCAGGTAGAAATGCACAAAATTAAAATATAAGCGATTATCTCGCTCACGATGTTGTTTCGTCACTGTATCTGTAACACTCACCTCTGTGGAAATGCGTCTGAAGATGTGTGGTCTTCATAATGTCGATATCTTCGAGGTTCCATCAAGAAAATCTAAAAGAAGGAAACTCAACACTTTAATATTCGTGTTAAGATGTTTCTGCT